TTTGCAGTCAGTATTGGTTTTGTTTTAGTTTTGTGATTGCTCAATAGTGAGCAAAATAGGGGGTTTGTTTCAAGTAAAAAAACTCACTTCAAAGGTATGATACTAAGGAAAGATATGTACAGTTATAGATCGAGTTGACAGTTTAGCAGAAAAAAACTGTAGGAACACTGTGTTCTCAGTCTTCATTGAGTGTAATGGTTTCGAGATTTGGCCGATGATGAATTAATCGAAAACGTTCGTTCGCCTAACTTGACATCCTAAATGCTTACATGTGTATCATCGCTGAACTTGAACCTGATTGATTTCATCTCAAATACAGGCAACTAGACGATGAATACATTCCAGTCTACCAAACGGTCAGAGGCCGCGAGTACGCCCCAGAATTTGATGACTTCTTCGAATTTGCTCTCCCGGATCACCTGCGTGCTGAAAAACTATGCTACACGTAATAAAAAATGGGGCAGTAGTGGCAGTTTGCAACTGGCTCACATATATCGCCGATGTTAACTCTACATTTTCTTATGTACTATTGTTAAAATTGAACTTTCCTTTGCGATTTTCGGATATGAATGGGGAACTCAAAAGCTAAATCCTTCTCCCTTTAATAAAGTGAGTTAAATAAGCAAAGGAAGCGGACTCGTCGGAAAATCGAGTTTTAATTATAAACTTTCAACCCATCATCAGACCAAATTAGAAGTGGGGACTGTGATTATCGCACTAGATGTCTAAGCACTAGATTGTAGAGTTCTGACAATACAGTCACCGGAAAAACGCACACTTCAGAATATACCTTTCTTCATTTTGTTTTGTCAAAAAACCAAGGAAATCGAGGAGGCAGTTGAAAAATCAATTTACTTGTTTACATATACGCATCTAAGGCTCGCGGAGCTTTCCGAATAATCCACTAAGATTCGTTTTTCACCTGACGGACAGAGGTAATAGTGCACAGTCAGCGAGCTCAACTCTACAAAATCGGCCGCTCAACTCTTCCATCGAAAGTCCTTGTCTAAAAATATTACAATATTCCTGTATTACTAAGGGATGATAAAAGCTTCGTCCCCAAAAACACCAACAAGACTGAATCATATATTTAATTCTTTGCAAAACGTCATAAGGCGGAATATGAACTGATTCCACCGTTTCAGTCGTGTTCAGTGAATGCTATTAGTATCATTCATTTATCCTTTTAATTAATTCGTGAGCACCTAATACAACTAAGATCTCGTACGCTTCCGGAACTGACGGTATTCCAAACTCAAGAGAGTGACGAGCTTCCCTTGATTGCTAAGCCGTATATTTTCAGTTTATTTTTTAATGGATTCCTGTCTTACCCATAGAAGAAATTGATTATTATTCCTTTGTTCAAGTCACTATGTCGCTCGGATGTAAATAATTATCCGGCGTTCATAAACCCGGAAAAGTTGTTGAAAAAATATTTTGAATCAAGGCATTGGCAGGGTCTAAACGCAATTTTGGTACAAGCCTTCAAATTGGAATTCTTATAGTAATGAGGATAAAACGATGGAGCTTATTTTTTTTCAAAGCTCACCTTTGTTTTACTGTATCTCTCTCAAAAAGGAGGCCCTAGTTTCGGTTCCTGCCTTCCGCGTTTCTTCCTGTCGGGATGGCGTTGTCTGCGCAAGCGGCGCTTCTGGATGAGTTAATGGGGAAGAATAGGAACGCTTGTGGTCCAGAAAGTCTGAAAACTCCACACTGGTCGGACGAAGATATGTGCAAGTCCTTCTTGTGTGGTTTCTGCCCACATGATCTGTTCGTGAACACGAAGACTGACTTGGGCCCCTGCGACAAAACGCACGATGAACGTATGTTGGAAATGTATAAGAAGAGCAGCCGTTACGGCAAAATGGGTTATGAGGAAGAGTTTTATCGTTATCTGTGTTACCTATTGGAAGACGTTGACAAAAGGATTCGGCGTGGTCACGATCGCCTTAATGTCAGTAAGGCGGTCAATCCTACTGATCCGGACGCCGCCGCTGAGAAGAAGGAAAAAATCGAATCAATTACCCGAAGAATTAATGACCTCGTCGAACAGGCGGAGAAACTTGGCACTGAGGGCAAAGTTGATCAAGCCCAGGGTGTGCTAAAGTTGTGCGAACAACTTAAATTCGAACGGTCACAACTCGAGGGTGACGTCCGTCCAGGCGTTGGGCAGGTAACGATCTTTTATGTACTGTAACCATAATTTAAGTCAAAGGAATTAGAGGTATGTGAAATTTGTGGTGCTTTTCGAATAAAAGATGATGCTCCACAACGGGTTGAAGAGCACCTTTCTGGGAAGATGCATCTGGGCTATGCAAAAATACGTGATTACGTAAGGGAATACGGGGAAAAGCGCCTTTTGGCCTCTAAGGAGAGGGAGCGCGAATCTCGAGCGTCCGACAGCAGTGCTTCCAGGCATCGCGATCGTCACCGCAGTCGTGATCGGAGCAAAGACCGGAGGTAAGTTGTTCTCCTATTCGATTATTTTCTACTATAAAGACAGACTTTGATGTTTCTGCGTCTGGATGCTTCATGGATTTCCACAGGTATTTACTGTAGTTGAATTTCGCCCAATAGGCTCCTCGATTTAACCGCGGAGTTGCATATAAAGGTACCAAACTTATTTTAAGCAGTTATTGTGCAAGTGTAACACTCTTTAAATTCCTTTCGCAAGGGTTTGTCAACTGTTGCGGGTATTAGGGAACCTGCGCGTTGTAGACCGGACGGTCTGACTAGAAGGTAACTTGTGTTGCTAGTAACAGCTGTAAACTACTTAGCTCCCTAGTCTGCACATGGTTTTCCGTTAATGCTCCCTCTGGTAATTCAGGTCACCAGGCCATCGAAG